GTTGAGTACGCTCTATGGAGAGAAGTACACCTTGGCCAAGGGTTAACGTCGACATAGGTAAAAAAATGAATTTTTAAATGAAACACCGGACACGTGAAAAAAATGGCTGATACAGCCAAAATGTATATTTTTCGTGTGCTATAAAATTCCGTATTTAAGCGCAGTGAGTGCTCAATCAGATTTTTTCCCTTCTTTGTTAGGTTTTTGAAACTTTTTCCACATTTTATCTCATTTAATGCGATTTTACATATTATTTTCTTATAATAGACAGAAAAGCAAATCATTGACTGATATGTAATAATCTTGAAATACATCCAGAGCAAAGAACGATATTTTTTTTAAAATGTAAATTACCTAAAACTTGTTTCTTGGCTCTTTGGGCCTATTGACATGAACGCTCAGATTCATGTTTAATATATTTCGGCCATGATTGGATTCGGTGATCCCACGTTAGAAGGCACTTCTTGTAAAATTAATGTTATTATAAATATACATTTTGTATCATCTGATCAGTATAAAAATTATATAATAATTTTGTTGTGGTTCTATACGATTTCAATTTGTAATTTCATTGTTCATGTTACATTACGTTTCAAAATGGTCAGTAGATATTTCTATTTGTTTTACGCTTATAAATTAGTAATTGAATTTTTGTAGTACTAATGAAAGGGGTTCCTTGAAAGCTCGACGAAAGTACTTTTTCTTTCTAATTGGCCTCACCTATGGCCGTCTTTTATTATAAAAGTATAACGTACAAGCCGGGTCATCAGTTAGCAAAAAAAGTCTAATCGTATGTTTATTCATTAATAATTAATTAAATTGAAATAATTCACACAGCTGAACACTAACTATATCGAAAATTATATATTAAAAATATTAGTGTTACAATCATTTCTATAATACTACTGAGGAACTACTGCTGAATGAACATTGAAACAAAAGATCCTTCCTTCTGTTTAATTGTCACGATACCAATGTGCGTGATGAACCCGTGCTAAAACGTGGCTCAAAGAAGATTCATCAAAACCGGCTCTGCGGAATCTCCCACAAAGGCCCAGAGCATAAAGTGAAATTGAAAAGCATAAAGAGATATATATTCACATGTGAAATAGAAGAGCAGAGCGCAAAACTGTAGACGGCCGACTCGTGCTGAATAGGCAGATGCCAAAAGAAGAAAGAATGAATCGTCAACATAGTGGTCAATTCTTGTAGAATAGAGTTAGTGCTGCATAGAATATTCCAATTTTAACAGTGCTTACTGTTTTATATCGCAACTATTTAAACCGTTGACAATTTTCAGAATTTTAAGTATATAGTTGTTTGAGACTTAGTAAATAATCTCATTAAAATTTTAATAACAAAACGTACTAGCCTATTCTAAGTCGTTTTTATTTCTACTTAAAGAGGGAGGGTTCATAAATTAAAACTCATTTATTAGGAATCGCACTTTAAAGTTTTAGCCTTTGTAATAATAAAGTTTTCCTCCGAAGCCGTCTGGGATGGTAATAAGGCGACGAAGGCCCAAGAGATATGAAAATAACAAGCTTTAATGGAATTAACCCCCCCCCCCCCCCGCCCGGACTCATATTTATTGTTAATGTTTAAGGTAATGGTAGTCTTGCGGCGGTATTGGCTTTCTCAAGCCGCCGGATTCTTGCTTTTTCCTCACTATAAATATTTACAGCGTTCCATGGAGTTGTTAGTTGTTAGATGTAATCAGCAGTTCTCATCATAGACGCTCCTCCCACTAATTTTCATTAATTTGATCCTTGCGTTAGAGCTGTAGCTCCATCTACAAGATCAGTAGTAAACCCGCCAGCTCTGTTTAGTGCTGCTCTCTCTGCCGTTTATTTCATAATAACTTGGCTGTTTTTTTTTTTTTATTTCACTCCTGAATTTAAATTTATCGCTCGGGAGTTGGAATATCCTGCAACGATCAGTTTCAAGTGGTATCGCGATCATTATTTTTTTATGGTATCCAAACCGAAAATAACTTTTTAAAAAATATAACTCATTTAAATTCGTTATTTATTTGCTTTACTTTATATAATTACTCAATATCATATATAAAATCACTCATGTTGAAACCGGTATAAACGTGCTATAAATTTTCAAAACATATCTTTACTACTCTTTTCCAATATAGAAAATTGTGTATTTTAATTAATGAACAAAGAAAGGTCCGACCAATAAAAAATAAATTCCATATTTATTTTTGAACGCGTCAAACACCAAAAGGTTAGCGTTGAATTATTTAGATCCCAGCTGTCTGTGTTTTCGATCAGAATTTGGTTTACAGAGTAAACACGGTTATTACCTTATTTATCTTTTACCTAGAAGGTTTTCCTCAATTATCCCTGTTACCCCTGGCTTTCACGGGTCAGTTTTAACAGGTCAAAGGGTAATTGCGATCCAATGGACGACCCGTGGTTATTTTTCAAACGATGCAATAATAGGATGAAATACGATCGTATTATATATCCAAATTTCTAAAAATATGTTAAAAATTTCAAACACCAGATAGTTTGTAAATTTTCATTTTATCTCAGGTGATCATAAAATTCGCCATAATTTTTTTTTTAAAAACGGCGTATTTACCTGGCGAAATTTGTCTTTACGACTTATCATGAGGATTAAAATATCACATGGGGTTTCATTGTTCTCAACAATCTTCCTTTATTAGAAGGGTAAACGACCTCTTCCATCATTGCAAGGTATAGCCCTTCCGCTAAATTATTGTAGATAAACAGAGGCCGAACAATGAGCCGTTTTGATGTCCGGCGCAACATACAGTTTTTCTCAGCGCTTCCTGAAGGATTCGTACAAACCTGAAAAATAGGATAAGAAACAAAAACAAAAAAGTATACTGTGCATATTTCGTATTTTTTCATTTCAACCAGAACAACTGACATCTTTATATCCGGCTGATTTCGCTATTTTTGTCACTTGATCTGATATAACGCCAGAAGAATAAGAAAGATAAGACATATAATCTGCAGACGACATCATTTCAGATCAATTTGTCAAGCGGGGAAATACAATTTTAACATCAATTCTCTTAATTGTCATATTAAAACAAACTTGTTGAAATAGAAATAGAAAATTTGGCGCTTTTATTAGTTTCGGTTCAGCTTCTATATACTTCTTACTTTCTTACACTATTTTTTTTATATTACATTCATTAGATTAATACGGTAAAACAATATAGACATTTTCTTTCTTTAGCTGTGAATTAGGATAAGAAATGTTTTTGTGATTTCATAGTTATAGTATTTTTATGTACATAAACCAGACTAAATTGACAAACTTTTATATGTAAGAAAATAAATTTATAAGAAAATTAATTAGAGTTCGTGTTTCGATTGACCGAATAACGTTTTTCAATTAATTAATGTTCATATAAGGTATTTGTTGAGATTAAAAAATCAGTGTCTCGAGCGGGATTCGAACCCAAGACACTCCGCTAAATACGCAGCTACTCTACCACTTGAGCTATCGTGGTAGAGCAGCTGTGTATTTAGCCGAGGGTCGTGGGTTCGAATCCAGCTCATGACACTGACTTGTTTATGTCAACAAAATACCTTATATAAAGATTTATAACAAAAATTCAACTGATTTAAGTAAACAATTTACAAAAGTTAGATTGTGATAAACTTCCCTAAAATTTGTTTGTAAGTTATTTCAATCGTGTTTGTGGTAAATGTCACATAGTCTTATTTCTTAAGGGAGTGTAGTGTTTTCCAGACGGACAACGGATTTTTTTGGTCTCTTTTTTTATCTCCACTTTTACTCAATGGATTTTAATTTTGATACCCATTTTTCGTGTTTTTGTTTAAGCATCAAGCTCTAAAATTTTCTCTTATTACAATTTTTATGAAAACCATTTAGTTGTTCAGAAAGAGGCCGAACGTTGTCATTTTTCAGTAGTTTCTCAAAATGTGGTGTTTCTATTATAACCAATTTTTTGTGTCACATTTTTCGTAATATGCTCCAAATTTGTATCTAAGACATGTTGAGTTGCAAGTTCACCAAGGCAAGATAACTTTTCGCATTTTTCAGAAAAATATTTTTAGCACTTAGGATTTTTTGAATTAGGGTGGACCAGTTTCAATCTGTGTAAAACAAGTTGTAGTTGAATTATTAAAGCTATTAATTTAAAAAGTTCATGTTTTTTTTCGAAAAACAGTTCCTGCCCCCTTAAACAGGAGGAAATTATAAGCATCTCTCTCTCTCTCTCTCTCTTCTATTTCTCTCTCTCTCTCTCTCTCTCTCTCTCTTCTATTTCTCTCTCTCTTTCTCTTTCTCCCTCTCTCTCTCTCTCTTTCTTTATCATATTTTTTACAGGATATAAATTTANATATATATATCAATTAAAATTAATTTCATGGATATGATTGTTAATTGTTTGTGTATATGTGTATAATTTTAATTATAGTAACTACAATTTAAAGTATGCCTTCAAGCATATTTGAAACAGGTATCATATATTTTCTTTATCTTTTTATATTATGAATATGGAGGAACGAAATTAAAATTTAAAAAATCCTGAGTTTTAAAGGTGTTTTCTGTGAAATTTACAATCGTGGAAAAACATTTTTCCTTTACTTATGTTGTGTTGTACTTTTCTTTTCTTTTTTCTCTGTCTGGCACTTTTCTACATTTCATTACCACACCACCAAAGGGAGCCAGTTAATTAATTATGTATAAACCTTGCGAAATAATTTGAATGTTATTTTATTTTATGTTTATTTGTTATGTTTATTTTTTTTATAATTTTTATGTTAACAGACTTTTTAAAATACATTTCAAAGCATATTTGAGCAATTGGAATTTCTTTATTGGACTTAACACGTGAATAATTGTCAGAAGATATAAATGAAGAATAAATTATTATTATAATTCGGCTTCTATTATAATAATAAGACATTTATATTATTATCATTTATTCTTTATTTATGTAAAAATGCCAAAATTAACAAATTCGATTTAAAAAATTGGAGTGTACAAATGAATATAAATTTTGAATTAGAATTAGTTTTAGAAATGAAACTATTCTTTCTTAGCATAATAGTGCTCGTTATTATTTATATATTTATAGCTAGATATTTAGTGTGTTTCTGCACTTTTAACTCATTGTCTTGTCTTCTCATTTTCACGGGAAACATTTCGATCTCAGGTTGTGAAAATAATAAACCATTTATAATCTCTCTTCATTACTTACTTAGCTGCCTTGTAATGTTTTGTCCTTACTTATTATGTCGTTTAGTTAAGAGTTAACAGAAATGGATTGGCGTTGAGTAGAAAAAACTGATTTTCTTTTTTTGAAAGTGAGTTTGCCATTCCACTTCCGCATGAATGAAAGGAAGTAGGCCGTAAGCACTGAGACACATCTGTGGTCCTCATGTAGTTTATGGTCTCATGTCTCTTACGTGTCCCCCGTGATGTAGTGACACCTGGATTTACCTCCTCTCCAATTCCTATATCCTTCATAAACTTTTTCATGAATCTTTTGGACCGGAAGTTTGATTGTTCGGTTGCCCTGGGGTAATTTCTCTTTCCGATCATTCTTGCATTGTGAATCCTTTTTAATCCTTAGACATCAAGTTAAAATTCTATAAATGTTAACAGGTAATGTAGAACTTTTTAAAAACAAATGTAAGTATATTTCAGAGGGAAGACCTGAGTCATATTGTATAAATGGCAAAACTTTGTATATCAGTGGCACTGCTGTAAAAATAATCTATCCTTTCTAAAAACAAGCCTAGGGAAAAGACGTCAACCAGAGCAGAACCGGCTATAGTCTGTAAACAAAAATACTCAGTTTTAATTACTTAAGCATTAAAAAATCTTACTTCTTTTGTTTGCAAATGTGAGAAAAATGGACAGATAGATAAATAGATAGATAAAGAGAGATAGAGAAAGTGAGTATTAGAATGAAAGTGAGAAGATAGGGGAAAAAGTTTCTAAGAGATTTATTATTTTGAGTTTTACAATTTGCCCAAATTATTAATCTTTCTCTAATGTGTAACAGTGGTTTTCCTACAATAATTTTTATGTAATAATATGCATTAGTTGTACTGACAAGGTCCAGTTTTGCCTCCGGGGAAATCTTGTTTTTCGCAAAGGTAATTTTCACCAAATACACTATTTTTACAATTATTTGTACCTTCATGAATATTAGGAACATTTCTTTTTACTGACTCAACCTAACGTAAAAGTTTAATTTATATTATTTTTATTATTAATTAGCTGTTTAATTTAATGTGTAGTTATTTTTACAATAAAACTGAATGTCAAGTTTTCTCAGTTCAAAAGGACATATTTTCCTACCAGCTTCACTATTCATAATATTAGTCATATCAAAATAGTATGAAGGATGTGTTCTGTCAATAAAATGAAATGTAGAAACTTAACAGATTAATCTAGATCTGATTAATATAGATAAAGTCGAGCTGATTCTGTTGATGAATAAATCCTTTCGTTACATTTGTATCACATGTTGGGGGGAAACCCACGCCTATCTCCTTGAAAATTACAATTGGTCTTGATTAGTTAAAAGACCTTAGTAACGCGACATTAACTCAGTTTATTTTTTGGTTCATTTTTATTAAACATCAATAATTGAAAAGAATAAAACCGCGTAATTGACCTGTTTTATCGGAGGTATTAGCAAGAAAACAATTACACGATTTACGGCCCACAAAACCACTACGGTCCTGATTAGCGGTTTTAGACATGTATCAATCCGACCGAGAATACATGGAATCGCCTGATGAAATTCCTACCAGCTAAACAAGCCCTAATTATTCCAAAGGGATAATTCCAAAGGCAAAGGAACATCTTTGGCTAGATCGAGCTTGCCATCACCCGACGCGAACCGACCACAATTTGTGGTTTAGAGGAAATATCACTTCGATGCATGCTAAACCCATGCTTTAAAAAATGCCTGTGAAGGGTTATAAATGGAATTTTTGTAGGTTTGAATGTACAGAAAGAAATTATTTTTGAACAAAATTGTGAATCGACCATGAGCTCAGTTTTTGGGCCTTCACGAACCTGATCCTATGACGCAGATCAAATTATATTTGGTTCTTCCATGGTCAACTGTTTCATGGTTAAAACTGAGTTCTCCAAGTCATTCTAAAAGATATTTTTCTTAATGTAAATATAATAAATAATAATTTACTTTAAGCTCCTTGTTAGGCATTCCAGCAGGATTAAATTTAGGTCACTAGGAATCGGTCTCTTTTCGACCTTGCGCACCACGACCGATATTGGCCTATTGTGCAATCTCCAACATAGTAACTCCCGTTATCCTAAAGTCTTTTTACCAGTCCCGAAGCTTTGTTAGGGGCTCTCCTGTGTGTACTTCAGGCCTTCGCGCTAACTGAGGACAAGTTTCGTGGTTTCTTCTTCTCCCTGGCATATCTGCATAGGCATGTTTCAGAAGTTAAGAGTTTATACATATACGTTCCGGTGTTTGCAAGGTTCCATCAGTAGTCCTATTATCATTCTGGACTTAACACATCCGATGTTTATTAGTTGTCCCGTTATTTTCTGCGATGGACTTTTGATTAACGTTTTTCCCCGACCTAGAATGAATTTCGATTGACTTAACGACTTAATTAGTGTAAATTTGTAGAAATACTTAACCCAAAGCCAATTACTATCTTACATAAGTAATAAACATGTCCATTTACAATTTGAAAAACCACCCACTATCTGAGGTTTTCGTTCGGCTGTGTTCTGTGTATTTCGTCAAAAAGTTGACAACAGTTTTAAATGTCTTAATCTTAAAATTCAAATAACGTTAATCAATCTATAATTTAAGAAAGTTTTCAAAGTTAGTTCAAATTTAAAATAGATGTTATTATCTTAAAGTTCATCTCAGCGTATAGCTATAGCCGAAGCACAAGCACAACATATGATGGTGACTACATATTTCTGATTAGTCCATCTGTTTGTTGGTAATGGACTGGCTGAATAGATTTTCATCAAACTCACGCTCTCGCCTATTAATGTCCACTAAATGGTCTTGATTATTACCATTTTCCATTATTAGCACGTACAGGATTATGCCGTGGGGCCCGTTAATTAATTAGAAATAAAGGTTATTTTCGACGTATGTATGCAGAAATTCGTAGATGTTCAATATTTACATTTCGACTCCCGAGTTGTATCTAAGACGGCTCCTGTTTCCAAGTTTAAAGTAACTTCCGGGATCGAGTCTGCACTTTAGCCTTGCGTGCCGCGTCTTGTTTAAATATTTAGCAACTGATTCAAGCTATCAGACTTCGGCTAATTAAACGGAAACGATTCATGAATGATGTATTGGGCGAATTCCTCGTTTTATTCGGCTCTTTTTACACTATCGTCTCAGACAAAAATTTTAAAAGTGTATAGGGTGTAAAACCAATATTTTTATTTGTTAAAAAATGTACGTTCAAATATAGTATTTAATGAATTTATAATCTTACATATAGGCTAAATTGGCAATCACTGCACTCTTACATATATAAACTATAAATAACTTAAGTTGATTTATTATATACATCACATCAGATAATAATTAAACTGTCGCCTAGGTGACTTTCTCAATGATATAGACAGTAGAATATTCATTTTATTTTGAGCTTTAAAGAAATAAGAATCGTGTGCAAATAATTTCTCTTTGAATCAGAATCGATGCTCATAATTTACATATAGATTTCCTTTTCCACATGGTTTTTATGTAGAATATCATATCAACTGACAGAAAAGTCTATATGATGAAGGCGTGTCATTGTAGTAAACAAAATATACCACTCGCCTTGGCGCAACTATTATTTTAAAATTAAGATTTTTATCTCCCTAACGTGCGTGAAAGTTTGGAAAAATGTAGGGATAATCCGAACTAAGTTTAATTTATTATTAAAGGGATTGAAAAGGCGAATTGTTTCCCATGTAATTGTCGCATTGACAATGAATGGACAAAACTATTCTAAACCGTCAACCAGCTAGGATTTCAAAGTTCAGAAAGCTAAATTTAATCATTTTTCTCCGTTTTCTTTTAGAAATATTAATAAATATTTTTAAGTGACTCTTTTCGAACATCATTTCAATGCCGTTTGTCAAGGAGCTTTCAAAGAGATTTAAAAATCGCCATATTATTAATTTAGTGCCGAGGTCTTAAGATGAATAATATAGAAGCTGCTTTCTCCCTCCGCAATCGACTTTGGCGTACTTCCGTCGTTTCAGCCCCACATTCAAGTTTCACTGCGAAATCATTATAGATACAAATTCAACCAATCACGCTGTATTATTAGGAAGAGATAGGAAAAAAATAGCCTGTTTAGTTCGATCGTTGCTTCCCTTCAGAGCGGCGGGGTCGGATCAAAAATAATCTCGAGGGGACGATGCGGTAATTGACAACCACCCAACAGAACCATCCCAGCCTTTCTGGTCAATAAATAAACAACCCTATGACAATCTTGTACCATAACCGTATAAAATAATAAAACTGAACTCTTTGCTCCATTTTTATTTCAGATATGCACTCTTGTAAAAATAGTCGAATTGAGATATTTATTAATAAAATATTCCTTTGAACTTTATACTATAAATAAAGAATAGAACAATTATATTATATAAATGCTAAAAAGTTACTATTGTTTCAAATCACATATAGATTTCTTACAACTATATAATTTCTTATTTAGATCACCTATGTTCAATGATTACGAATAATTTAATTAATAGAAAGGTTTTAATTCCCGTAGAAATAATATGTACATCGTTAAACGTTATGTAAATAATATTAATAGACTTAAATTGAACATACAAATCAATAGAAATAGAAAAAATTGTTCATCAATAAAAACGTTCAAAACTACTGTTAATACCTTTAAATTTTTCGTATGAGCCAATGTAAAATTTGAACAAAACAAAATTTTCTAAACTACACCAATCATAATTGATTTTTCAAAATGTTTTTCATTAAATAAATATTATTAACATACATTGTATTACATTTATAAAATCATTACATTTTTCTATTTTTAAGACCAAAAAATCAACTTTTGATTATTTAATATTTGTTCAATTAATATTAAATTAAAATAAAAAGAATAAATTTAATTTGGTTTGTCTACATAAAAGAAAATAAATGAACAGAAAATAATCACTTAGTTACGTTACTTTAAAGGGTTGTACTATACCATAACTCCATATCGATAGTTGGGTTCGCCACGATAGTCATCACTGCACAAAATGATGGTAAATTATAATGTTGATTTAAACCGAATAACTTTGAAATTGACTTCAGAAGAGCTATTTTTGAAGCGTCTAATGAGTCAGTTGGTAACCGGCCAAAGTTAAAAATTAAACGTCCTAAAAAGGTGCAGAGGATTTTCTTTTCAGTCTACTTGCGTTGTAACCTGATCCTACGGTCGAAGGATTCCGTTAAACAGCGTAACGCCTCTCGGCCATAATTATATTCTCTCTTTATCCGTAATTTGTATAATAGAAGGATAGCGCACATGTGTAGACCACGTGTGGGACAAAGGGCTGGAGACGTACAAAGCTGGTTTTCTCCTCTTCTTCTTATCATGTTCCGAGACACAAAAAAATGGTCGGAGCCTGTAAGGGCGAGGGAAGTTTTACCTGCGGTATTCAGGGGTTAAAGCGCCGAATTCCACTTTTGAAAGGGTCAGCTTTTAAAACAGCATACACTGAACACAGCACTTGGTTTCGTTTTTCGCGCGCTCTTGAAATTGAATTCGGTTCGGAAAGACATCTTGAGAATAAAATATCACTTTCTTCTTACATTTCATGGATACAAGAGAAAAAGAGATTCTGGTTTTAAAACTTGTTAAACACATGGTCTTCATGGGCGTGATGAGTTGCTCGATGAAAATGGCAAGGTAGCTCCATACTTCTTTACATTCCATATAAATTGAAACACTATGGGAAGTACAGAAGTATGGAACCACGCATGGCCAAGTGGTACGTGCGGTGTGCTGCTCCTAAGACGGCCGGCGGAGTGAGACTGAAGACTTCGCTGGCCTGGGTCTAAAAACAGCCCTCTGGGCACATCTGGTACGTGCGGTATCCCGAAGAGGGGGAAAGGGGGGCTCCATCCAAATTTGTCCCTAGGACAAAAATATACCCACCGTGGACTCCCCTAGTGAAATATCAGTTCACAACACTTAGAAAGTTCCGTCCTCCTGACTGAATTTTATCGCCATTAATGGTCAACCTCCTCGTTGGCACGGGATTAGCTCTTTTTCTTTTTTTGTGAGAGGAGGGGAGGTTGAACCGTTCCGTTGAATTTGATCTGGGAAAAACTTTTGAATAATACCACTGTTCTGCTGGTTGCTCTTCGGTTGACATTGACCGTCTGCCCATCCTCACCATCTTCCACCCACACCTGCACAAACGTTGCAATTTAAACAAAAAATATCAATTTCAAAGTTTTCAACTTACATATATCTTAAAAATGTTATAAGTAAGTATAGAACAGTGTTTCAGTTGATAAATTAAACGAAATCCTTTGTTTTATTTTTTCAATCAATTGGGTAACCGTCATCAACTAACTTATGTTTGGACAAGGTCTAGAGGTCAATTTAACACAAGATGTGGGGTTGTAACAAAATTATCAACTGAATGAAGTAATAAATTTAGTTGCTACTTATCGAATAAAGATATTTTTTAATCTATTGCAGTAATAATTCTTATTTCATTCCTTTCTTGATCAGATAAATTTTAATTCGTTCTACAATAAAGAATGAAAAATTAGGAGCAATATGTTTCTCATTTTTCTTGCTTTTCAACAAAGTGTATTTGGCAAGGATTAATATTTAGTCGGGTCGTTATTAATTTTATTTGAAATATTAGTATATTTATGATAATAATATTAGTTTTCATATATTAAAACGAAATGTCAATTTGTCAACCTAACGCTATATAAAATTATCTAAAAAAAAGCTTTTCTCAAAAAATCAAAAATGAAAGTGGCTTTTTTATAATATAATATCAATATATTATAATATAAAAATCAATATTCTTTATAATATAATATCAGTATGTAAATGTCATTCATATTTAGTAAATTCAGGAACGCCGTTTTTATGACAACCTTTTATCGGAATTAAAATTCTACGGTTTTATTATTTAATAGAAAGTAGAATTATAAAAATTGAATTGTCTTTGTACTAGCATTTTTTAATCAGGAAACAATTTCACTTATTTTAACAACTTCATTATTTTGTTTAAAATAATCGCTACTGCGAAGAGCAAAATACGTTTATTTTGAAGCAAAAACATTCCTGACATGCAGGTGGGCTTAACGCCCAACTACCCGTTGGGTGTGAAGCGTGAAGAGCCAAATCACTTTTACGTCCTTTTTTTCATATTATTCTTAATTAAAAATCCATGGGCTACGCCGGGATTCGAACTCAGAACATGCAAATACACTAACCCTCGGCCATCCCGGCCCATAAATTTATTTTAAATGTTTTCAACAATTTTTTTTTTCAATCTACAACCAACGAACTTTTCAAAACAAAAATATAAACGATTTATTTTCGTTTGACGTTTCTTACAAATAATAAACATATTTTCGTTAGAAAATTAGTCGAAAGGACTTTTTATCTTCTAATGAAAAGGATTAATTTTGTTGTTCTTAATAATTACAACCTACTAATCTGAAGAAGTATTATTTTTAGTATTTATTTCTTTATTAATGTCAACTATTCTTTATTAGGTGGAAAAACTAGTAAAAATATTTTACAAAAGTTTATTTTGCTGAATATTTTAACTGATTAGTTTTTTTTTATTATTTTGCAAAATTGTGGTAGAAAGTCATAAACTTAAAGAATAAAAAAAGTTTATAGAAATGAAAAATGATGGAGTGAGTGTGGTGTTCAATCCTTTTTAAAAAGATAGTTCCTACTCACAGTAAGTTGTTTTGCAACGATCCGGATTTCGAGCCTTTTAGCTCATCATCAGGTTGAANGCCAATTTCCAATGTAAAATTTATATTACGGTGTAGAGAATTAATTAGTTGTAGGAATTCTTTGAGAGCCTTTAATGTTCCCGACCATATGCATAAAATATCGTCTACATAGCGTTTCCAGAAATGAACAAATTTAATTAATTTGTTCTTTGATTTGAAAAGATTTTTTTCGAAATAATCCATGAATATTTCAGCACAAAGTGGGGATAATGGAGACCCCATTGGTAACCCTTTCATTTCGTAAAATTTATTATTGAATTTACAATAATTAGATATTAGGCATATATTTAAGAGGTCTATTATATCATTTTTTACAAATTCGTTAATAGAATTCTCGGTAAGTTTTTGCTTTATGAGTTTCGTACATTCTTCAACGGGGATATTTATGAATAAATTAGTAACGTCAAATGATACTAAAACACAGTTGTTGGTACATTGATGTTATTTAATTCTTTTATCATTTCTAAAGAATTGTTGATACCGAATGTAGGTTTGAATTATTGTTTTTAATTATTTTGTCAATTGTACTTGCAAGTTTATGGCATGGGGAGGATAAATGCATTAATAATATAACAGATTTTGATCTACCTCCCATTTTAAATATGTACATAAATAATATCAAACATACAAATAATTAAACTAATTATTTAATTGTTATTATTTTTATAGTAATTTAATAATATTAAGTATTTAATAGTATAATATTTATTTGTGTTATAATTTCCGCGTTTCGCACGTTCAAATTGAGCGCCACTAAAAAGATCAGCAGCTAATTGGAACGTCGCGTTGGCTGGGGTATAAGTGGGTTCACTTTGGCAATTCATGTCGAGAGACGTGGTTGTGGAAGTCATTCAACCTGATGATGAGCTAAAAGGCTCGAAATCCGGATCGTTGCAAAACAACTTACTGTGAGTAGGAGCTATCTTTTTAAAAAGGATTAAAAAAGTTTTGTTTTTTAGTTATGTAACTATTTTGAAAAAAATACTAATTCATTAATATCCTCTTAATTAATTCAGCACATTATACAGCGAAGATCTGTTAGTAATTATAAATTGTACTTACAAGGGAGAAAGTTAATATATTTATTGCGGTAGTAACGAAGTTAATAACCGTTTTTTTAACCCCAGAATACCCCTGAATACACATTGTTGAGTAAATTTAAAAAAATATATTATCTCGCTTTTTACTTTCAAATGCTGGTGACGTTTTTCGAAAATTACAATGATGGTGATAAGGTTGGATCCCGATCGACTGGAAATCTTTCACAGATTTAGTTCCATAATGCACGAATCTGACCTGTGCAAATATGTCATATCCCGTAGTGTAAAATATAAAGGTTATTTTTGACATTATATTTTCACTTATAAAAACGTAAAAAAAATTGTTGAAATAGGCTCAAGAAAAGAGAAAGGGGCAGATAAACAGATAAAATCCATAGCAGTTATCAATATTTAAGTGAAACACCAGTCATTGTACAAAAAAATGCCTCCAGCTAATCTAGGACTAAAATATATAATTTTTGTTTGTTAAAAACTTTCTACTTAAGAGCGTTGGTGATTTGAATTACATTTTTTCAAATTGTTTGTTTACTTTACTGAAAGTGGCTTTGTTTTTGTAATTTTTTGAATAATAATCTCATTTAATATGATGAACACTGGATGAAGGTATGGTCTTGACAACAACTTGAAAACAAATTCTCTTGTTACTGCCAAGCCTTCGACTTATTTTAAGGTCATCACCAGGGCATATCGATCTCAAATATGTCTGTAGATTGACACATTTAAGTTTTTAACAGGGCAATACTGCTATAGTACTAGCAAGTGAGTCGGTCTTCAAGGACATTCGAGATCGCCTGTAAAAAACCTTAAATGTGTCAATCTGTAGACATATTTAAGATTGTTTGTCCAGATGATAATCTTAAAATAGGCCGAAAGCTTGGCAGTAACAACTGAATTTTCTTTCTTCTTCAAGACCTTATCTTGATCCAGAGTGTTCATGAGTGAAAAAGAGATCGATATTTCTAATACTGAAAATTAATACGATCATGAATCTTATTTTCTTATCCTTGTGGGGAAAATCAAATCGATTTATCTATAAAAAATCTTCAAATCCGTGCAAAGGCAGAAAGATATATCAAAAAATATGGAAATTGCTTCATTTTCAGCTCCTAGTGCCGATCGGCAAGTATGCTCGGACTAGTTATTTTTCGACCTAGTATAACCAAAACATTTTGTTTATAAAATCATCGGTCCACGTTTATTCGTTTATTGACTCCTTTTGTTTAGTTATATTACGGATCCTCCTGTATTTCTTCGTATAACTAGTTTTTATAGTTAAGTATAATTGGTGTTTTCCTATTAGAATTTTTTTAATATTTTCGGCATAAATGAACGAAATAAAACGAGACGACCTAAAAAATAACTATAATTATTACTGGTCTATGTGAGGTGATAAAATGTTGAACTTTACCGTGGAGGGAAATGAAAACATTTTAACTCAATAAAAGGGTGGAAACGTCTGACTGGCGAAATTGGTTGTTTTGCATAACATCGAAATGCTAATTGATTGGCATTTATTAATTGACTGACGCCCGACAATAGGCATTTTTGTAATATAATCAATCGATATACATATAATTGGTCAGAACAAGTGTGAAATAATTTTTAAAGCATTCCTTTTGATGCCTTTAGGCCGGTGATATCTCTCGGACCTTTTACTCACAGTACATATTGGAATTTCAGACCTTTTACCCGTTCGCTAAAAGCGATCTGTGTAATCTCCGTGTAAATTTACAAAATTCATTTTAATTAATTAATAATAACGGATATACATGACATTCCTGTTTTTCATTCTGCTTTAATACACTGATAATTTATTTATCACCTTGTATGGGTTTCAATTATTTTTACTTTGCCCAAAATCGCGTTTGATGTCGAATCGAGTATAATAGAGTTTAAATCTGAAACTTCAAAACTGAAATTATAAATTGATAGATAAGTATCTTTTATGCTGACTAAGATCAGTAAGATGGCCTTATAAGTTTTGACTTTCCTAAAGCCTGTTTATTTATTTATTTTTAATGCAAAAATTAACAGCTATTGATAAAAAACGGGAGATAATGAACAAGAGGGTTAAAAAGTTAAACCCATTGTCAAAGGGGAGAAAAAAGAGCATTTTGCCTTCCATTCCAAAACTCCCAAAATCGTAAAGATCAAAGCTGGAAAGTTTTGTTTTTAATATCTCCTCAAAATTATTGATTCATTTTTTATTAATTGGATTAATTGTACACTCTTGTCACTTACATTCTTGTTAAGTTCGATTGGCAAAGACGCCATCTATTTTTACCTACCGCGGAAAGATTTGCTAACACAAAACGGCCTTAGGCTTTTACTTTCATAAATCGCCCCTAATAT